AAAAAGTAGTGGACTCGAAATATCCCACAATGCACCTTGAAAAGTAGTGATCATCCATGGTCACTAGACGAGCAGATATTTCCCAGAATGCTTTGCGCTGAGAGCTCTCCTCGCAAAGTATTATGGGATTTGCTGTCACAGCTGACCCAGCCGCTACCTGACAGCGGCGATAGCAAAGATGGCACAGGCCCTGTGTGGGGAGATGGAGTTACGTGAGCAACAGGGAGTAAGGTAGTTATCATCTGTACGAACGGTCTGTTAACCGAGTTCACTATAAAGTCAACCATATAGTCCCCACTCTATATAGTGATTGAGGGATTTAGGGGTTAGGACGGACGTTCGGACACAGCCATTTTCTTTGTGGGAGCAGGATTTCCTCTACTTGGACTCAAAATTTCAGCTTTCTCTCAAATTTATTCTCTTCACCATTAAATCTTTTTTTCTGTTCTCAGATCACATGCTTCTGGAACAGATATTTTCTCCTCTTGTTTACTTATTCTCGCACGCAAACCAATCTCTGCGACACGCTCGCAAACCCGTTAGCTCTGCTAGTGGATATTTTTTTGCTCTTAGACTGGCCAACAGAACATCTGCCACAGAAAGGGTGCGCTTCTTTTCCCTTGTTTTCCAAATAAAATCGCTGTTTTCCTCTAACCGATTTTGTGCGATAGTCTTCGATATGCCATGTTTTTTTATAATTTTTTCCTAATTGTTTGTTTTTATAGATTTAATTTTATATGAAGTTAAACAAAAAAGCTATTTTTATCATCAGTAAGCAGTAACAGGTATGACTACACTGATTAAAGAGCGACATAACACACAAGTTTATGCCAGATAGTGAATAACTATACTGCAAATTGGATTGTTTTGGGGAGAAAGACACTGTGGACCACAGAAAAGGCTGAAATTAAGCTAGTACTGAAAAGTTAGAGACTGAGTCGTAACAGCACTGATTACCAGAACATGAGTTTGCTCTTCCGGCATCAAACCTTTTTTTTTGTGATAGCAAGGACTGTTGTACAAAAATGCAGCCACATTAAAACTGCAGCCTTGATTACTGATCACAGCTTTGATTGCATTGTACACATGCAATAGCTTTTTCTTCACTGCGCTCATTTATCCTTGGAAGCAGAAGTCGCTGCTTTACTTTGATTTGGCAGAAGTGTTTGGTCTCTAGACTTCATTTTTGTTGCTTGAAACTAAAAAAATGTTTAGTTAAAAAGCCAGTAGTAGATGTTTTGAACCACAAAGTGCAGTTTCAGGGTTTTCTTTCTATATCTTAAATCCGATACGTGATAAAGCTGCAATGCTGGCACCGTGCAAAGAAAACTCTGTGTAAACCTGACTTTAACTTTGTTTAGGAAGTCGAGAACAAGACGCAACGCAAAAAAACAAAGGTTGCAGTGTTTGTGATGCAATGCTGGCTTCAAAACTCAACAGAATATTTGATAAAAACAGTGTGACTCATAAACTCTCCCCAGTCTAGCTTCGGATGGCTTTCATTATTTCTGCTTCCAGCCTCCGACTGCTTAGCTACCCCCAATCTGCCTTCCCTCAGCCTCTAAACAGTTCCCTGTGCGTACATCTGGAGCGCTGGCCCACTATTAGCCTGCTAATTGATCCTCTGACAGGCCAAGGCAGCCAGCACAGCAGCGCATGGAGGTACATGTGGCTCTAAGAAAGGACTTTTGTTCTCTGGGCCCCAAAAGTCTTGTTCCTCGCATGGAAAAACTGACGTGGGGGGCAGAAGTTTGGAATGGAGGAGGAGGAGGGGGGGGGTGACCTTTACTTAAAACAGACTCTTTTTCTCTCTGTAGCTCAGTCACACACACTGTGAAAATCAATAAATAAAAAAGAGCCCCGTAAAAATGTCATGAAAACAGTTGATCTCTGACAAGAAAAGCTGATTAAAACGGAAGCGGAGAGACGATGGCAGGGTAAGCACACACTTATACTGGATCGCAAGATAATTCAAGGTTATGCTGCAAAAAAGCAAAAATATAAACAAGAAGTGCGGTAGCCAACAAAGATCTTCTACAATATACTGATAGTTTTGACCAAAACCCGACCACACTGATGACGGTGCTTGTATGCTTCAGTTAAACACACTGCATCAATATCAATAGATATATTTACATGGGCAAGAGTATTTAGAACAAACTGTCGATCGGAATTAAATAAGATTGTGATTGGATTCGGCTCCATTGAAATTAAATTGTTCTTTGAAAGAAAGGAGTTGATTAAAGCTGAATCTCAGTCTGAAAAGCTTCATGGTACATATTTGTAGTTGCTCTCATTCTCATTGCGGGAATTGCCCTGACTAATCATGCATGTCGTATGTTAATGTGCAGCGTTTTTCAATCTTTACTGGAAAAAAGAATTATCCGAGGGGAAACAACTGGACTGGTGCCATGTAAAACCTGTGGTTTAACTATGTAGAGTACTGACACCTCAACCGCTTTCAAAACCTGCTGCTGGTCCATTTTGGCACTAACATTCAGATTCATAACACTTCAGATTGTCTTTTTCTTTTTTTAGCGAAAAGTGACAACTAGTTGAGCTCCATGTGTCAGTTTCTTTAAAGGGGTCACAGAATGCAAAACAGAGTTTACATGTCATATATGAATAACGATAGTTCAGTGGGTGAAATGGACGTACAGAGAAGTTCAAACTCTATCGACACCTCCTTGGGGGCCCACTGCCTGCCGTACTGGCAGGCAGGGGGAGGGGGCGCATGTGTCCAGGCTACCGTCACTGGGTCGGATTCGGTCGCCCCGCTGGCTGCTGCCCCCGTCCATCCGGGGTTCCTGGTCCAGCCCCGGAGTTCACAACTCGGTTCTGCTGCACTGTAGTCGACCAAAATCCTGAACGATTTTTAAATTCCCCCAGGACTTTCTTTTAGGTATGAAAAGTAGGTCATGTCCAAGAAAAAGAGGCCGTCTGGTCACTCTACCATATCAACAATTTGATGTTTCATTGAGTGAGTGCTTGTTGCTATGATGCGTCTTTGCTCAGCAGCTTCGCTCGTTGTAAACCAACCATTCAGCGCACAGCTCATCTAAATATTCATGAGCTTACCATAAAAGGAAGAAAACCTGTCGTTTCATTCTGGGGCTTTTAACCAGGCTTGAATTATGGCGCATAGAACAGCAAATATGCCATTTTCAGCCCAACTAATGTTATAATGTTTATATAATCATTCTATGACCCCTTTAATGATCTTCACATTTTTAATATCATGATTTTATTACATTTTTTGACTGAATTATGACACAGCTCATTACTTCTGACTCATTTTTGAAGATAAAACGCAAAAAGATCAGAATGAATTTATTTCCACTTTAAAACCAAGGGTGATTTGTCCCCCCTTCCACTATTTTTTATTTTTTATTTTTTACCTCTTAATTTCTCTTTTTAAAATTCGGTAAATGTTGTTTTCCAAAAACAAATAATAATCCTAAACAGGACCCAAAGTCGAGGGTTTCCAGTCCACCTCTGGTTTCTCTTAAGATAACAGCTTTCCATTTAACTTTTCTCCATCTCTGTACTTCTAAGAATAACATCTATTTATTCACCGTTGCATTGGTCCATGCAAGTTTAAATAGCTTTTCTGGATTGTAACATGTCTTTATAAATAACTCCAATGTTGTTAAAATGCTTTACTCAGACCTTAAAGGACGGGGTGTCTTTAAAAAGGAAAACGTGTCCAAGTTAAGCATAATGGTTAAGATATAATATTTAAACACAAAATCATACGCCAACATACCCTCTGTTTACTCTAAGGGTTGCATCTCATTTTATGGTACATATATATATATATGATGTACTGCCAACACAGTCATCTTTCAATGTTGACATCTGACACAAGAAACCAACGCTGGCAAATTTTAATATACTAAAAATGAACTAAAAGCCTTGAGAAGCCAGTGTGTAAAGAAACTGGTAAAAATGTACAGTGGCTATATCCATCCTTTATTCAACATGAGTGACTAATTCTTTGCAAAAACCCATAGGCATTTCTTAGTTTGGCACCCCTCTGGGTCTATAGAGATAAACATTGAAAGTTTATGTACATTTATTTTGAGTCTAAACTCCTTTTTTCACCAGAACCAGTTCCTCGGTCATCTCAGTTTGTTTATATTGCAGTTTTAGAAGCATAAACACAAATGTCCGGAGCGCTTTCCTGCAGACATTTGATCAAGTTCCACCTAAAATAAGACATAAGAACTGACTAGAGAGATGAAAAGTGGGATAGATAAATAGACTGATGGATGGATTTTACTGCTAACATTTGCATTTTTTAAAACCCCAAACTTAAAAAAGCTTTATAGTTAGAAAAAAAGACAGATAAACAACAGGACAGATGGAAAACAGAAGGTTCAGTGAATAAAAGAAAGGATATTTGGATGAAGGGGCAGATAGATAAAAGGATGGATGGATGGATGGATGGATGGATGGATGGATGGATGGATGGATGGATGGATGGATGGATGGGTACATAAACCTGAACTGTTTCAGCATAAGAAATATATCTAAGCGTCATAGAAACCCTTATTCATGCAAACTTCTTTAGCTCCTAGATGGCAAACTGTAATGAAGGCACCATCAGTAAACTGTTGCATTAAACATTTCCCCTGTGTGGGATCTATAATTAACCTCACTGTTGAACAAACCAGCTAAAGTAAGCTAACCAGGCCAAACCCCTACATTTTACCCAGAACTTCTTTTCTGGGGAGATGCATCTACTTTCCAAAGAAAATCTAATGAATCTTCATAAACAGGTAAATATTAGCTCTGAACTTCTTGGAAATCTCATCTGTTTTTCTTAACCCTGCTGAGGCGACAACTTACTGAATCTGGAACAACATAAAAGACACGACTGACTGATTTTTAAAGCCTAGCGTTAACCTGTGTTGCTCAGTCTTTTCCACCCTCGAAGGGCGTAAGACACCTGGTTTGCCAACAGGAAAAAAACAGGTATAAAGAAGGAACAGCCGTACCCTGCTGGCAGTGGTCTCTCCCAAGTTGTGGTTTTGGTGTTGTGGTCGACGTAATACACTCTGCCGTGAGGTAAAACCCGCTGCTCCCAGCTGCACGGACAGACAAACACACAAAAATACACATTTACTCCAATGCAGAAAACAAACATAAAGGAGGTATTTGGTAAGATTTTTCCCCAAATGCATCTGAGTGTTATTTTGAGAGGATAGGGAGTGTCCCTCAGTAGCTGAACGTTAGCTAACGATGGTACATTTGCAGCGACAGAGAGCAGCATAGATACAGTTAGAGGAACCAAGACTTCATGCCTCTAAATCTGTCCTAATTACCTCTAATCACTGAGTTTACTAAATCCATCCCATCAGCTAAGGCTTCTAAACTAGTATTTTCTGTACTGCGATAACTATGATTCCTGCTGATATACAAATATGAGATGATTTGAGGTTACAGAGAAGAAATAGACGATTAAATTCATTCAAAGTTGTTTTTCGGTGAGTTCCTGTATTTGCATTAATTACAGGTTTACTGTTTTGCATTTAGCCGGAAATCTGAAGTAACAGAGTTATCAGGTGAAATGTCAGTTTTAATAAAACCGACAATTTCATGTACAGCCATGTAAGAAGACCAAAAAACCTAATGGTTTTATGTCTGGAAATGTATGTGAAAAAATAATTATAATTTATAAAACATTTTTTATCAATTATTATTGATAAAAGATAAAAAAAAAAAAAATATATATATATATATATATATATATATATATATATATATAGGGATAAAGACATGCTGGTAAAAGCAGCCTACTCTTGTAAATTTTTATTGAAAGAAACATGAAAACAAAGGGTAGGAAAAAAAAAAAAACGCTTTTTAGTATTGTTTATAGCATTTTCACAAATTAAACAAGTTAGGGGGTATACTGGTATGGTAATAATAAATCAACTTATTTTAAAACAATCCATTTCACCCGATAACTTTATATTTGGACATGACATAATTCCCTTTGATGTAAAGCTAAATTCCCTGTGATTCACTTTATGGGTGAGTGGGCAGATTTCAAATGGGGTATGTCTGCTTATACTTTCATGATAGAATGAATCAATCAATCCTCCAAATGTCCAAATGGTTCACTGCATTATTTGAGAAGCCACTGATTTATGGCACACACATTTTTTTATTTACTTTTCTAAATTCATGCTCATGAATTTTCAGTACTTTTTTGAGTATTTAATTAATACTGATGATCACTAATTAATGGCAGGTTGTAGAATCTTCTGTTTTAGAAGCAAAACTTTTATTTGTACCTTCAAAATACATAAAACAACATTGTGTAACTTTAAGCCACTGGGGCGACACTTTGCAAAATGAACCAACCTCCCTCTGTGGTTTAAAATCTGGGCAGACCTCTCCGGAGGTCTGTATTTTTATTTTCTTTATCAAGACCTGAAAAATATTTCAATTCCAGAATCTTCCAGAACCCTGTTTCTACCGTGACGTTTGTTTTTGCTGCTGACCCAAGAGTAATGAGGATGTACTGGTTCTTACCCCGCCGGGAGCGAGTCTGTGGTCGACTCGGTTGTGTTGCTGTTGGCCTGCTCTGTGTTGGAGGAGATGGTGGGATCAGGTTCTGACGGGGCGGCCGGACCCCCGGCGGTCTGGCCTGGACAGGGGCTACTGCTGCTGCTTGGAGCTAGGGATTGGCCTGATGGAGAGGATGGAGGAGGTGCCTGAGGGACCACGACACCAAGGATGCTGTCCAACCCGTTGGATGTCAAATCAACTTTGTCTGTTGAAAGATATGGAGGACAGAAGATCATGGCAGGTTTCCAAGGACAACTGGTTTTTACTCCTGGATAATATAATCAATACTTAAAAATAAAATTACAATCTAACATTTACTGTCAGCAAAATCAGCAATTAAAGCAAACATTCACCTGCACTGTTATGAGGGCTCCCATTGTTCTTTGATGGCTGTTGGTGATCAGATGGGTCATGATTCTGGTCCTCGGTCAGCTCCCCGTTAGGCAGAGACCTCTCCCTGGAGCTGCCAGGGGACTCCCCCTGCGGACCCCCCACTGAGCGTCTGTTGCTCCTGCAAACAGCGGGAGAAAGCAGATTAGAAGATGAAATGGAAATGATGGCGATTAACACAAAAAAGACAATAAATAAATGTAACATTAAACCCTGCCTCTGTGTTTTCCCATCTCACCTATTGTTTTTTCCTGATTTGGATCTGGCACAGGTGCAGCTTCAGTCACAGCTGAATCAACACACACAAACACCCAATGAGGTGCAGATTTTCCTTTCTAGATATTTTTTCTAGAGCTAAATTTCCCTTTGCATTTCTTTCATATGATCAACAGACATGTTTCTCTTCACTATCCTGGATGGAAGAAAACTGAGGTTAAATTTGGGGAGAGATGCAGAAAATCATAATCACTACTTCATCAGTTGCTCTACATCAACAAACAAAGGCGAAAAAAGATGGAAGAAGGGAAAGCCATTTTCAAAATTTCATTTTGGAGTGGGGATTTTAGCTTGTTTTGGGGGAAACATGCAGCTGTGAATGTAGAAAGATGCTGACTGCTCCTCCATGGCAGCCGTGGTCTGAGCTCTTGGCTGAACTGTGCCTAATGGCCCCCCACGATGTTTAGAAGGAAATACCATCAAACCTCTCTCAATCTCGCCGCAAAGCTTTGAAAAAACTGCAGCCTGCCTGCTATTTATTATCCCGGGTACTATCACAGCCGATGAGAGCAGCAACTGAACCCACAGCCAGAGGGGAATAAGATGCTGGCACGCTGCATAATGCTCCAGTCAACCAAACTGGCACCAAACCCATTTATTCAGTCCCATTCTTTCCTCCATTTATTTGAAAAAATTGTTATGATTTGGTGTCCGGATTTTTTTTTTTTTATATATATATATAAGCACTTTGCAAACTTTATTTAAGAAAACGGTTTCACAGCTTTATTATTATTTTGCTATTATTCTTATTATCTAACCACGAGGTCTGCAGGGATTTGAAACCAGCAATATTGGGAACATTTATGGATTCTGATCCCAGAAAACCTTTTTTTTTCTTTTGCCCTATTTTATAGTCATAAAACTGACTATGATTTATGGTCTCTCCTTGGTGTCTTGTTATATTATAATGATAAAACCCAAAACCCTCACGTCTCCAAGTGATTTTTAAACATACCATTTCAACTAGATTCTACTGCTTCTTTTGTCCACATATTTTGTTTGTAATTTAATTTATTTAAAATCATATAAGACATTTAACAATCATTTAAAAATCACACTTAGATGGAGTGTTGGCCTAGAGGTTAGAGCAGTGTGCTTGTGCTCTGAGAAGGTTGCAAGTACCCAGTTCGATCCCCACAGCCTCCACTCTGGGTCTCTGAGCAAAACCCTTAACCCCACACTGCTTCCCAAGGGGATGGGTTCAATTCAGTGTATTTATATAGCGCCAATTCACAACACACGTCATCTCCACGCACTTTATAATTCACCAGTTCACACAGTCAAATTGATTCAATGTTTTCTATCTAAGGAAAACCAGTTGATTGCATCAACTTATTAATTAGAAGACAATCCCTCACACTAAGCATGCTTGTAACGATAGTGGAGAGGAAAAACTCCCTTTTAACAGGAAGAAACCTCCAGCAGAACCAGGCTCAGTGTGAGCGGCCATCTGCAGAGGCCGATACTATTTCTATTTCAAAATTGTCCAGTAAGTATTAAAATAAATGAGACCAAAAATAAAGAAATATTATAGATTTCTCCTTAAATCTTCAATGAGAATGTGTCTTTTTTCCTGTGATGTGAACTTTACCATGACAACCTTCTATTGTAAGGGCGATATTAGATGCGTTTTATAATACTTAATATTAGAAAAGTATATATTTTTCATCATGTTTGGCAGCCAACACAAATCTGTTTTTAATGAATGATTACAAAAAATGAAAACTGGCTGTATTAATCAGGTTTGTTAATGAAAGGTGAACTTATGTGAGATCATTATGAGATGGGCTCATATCTGGTTTAAAATTTAGACGGATCAATATGAGTGGTTGTCTTATATCTTTATTAAGTGTTGATGAGCCTTTTCAGCTGAAGCTGATTATTGAAGCTGTTGGCTTTGACTGAAGGTCAACAAGACACACAATGAAATAAAAAGATTGTTGTTGCTTATAGCAAAGACATCATGGTGAAAATCTGGTATTTCTGCAATGAGTTGACCTTCTCTATTTCCTATGATGTACCCGCATTTACAATGATAACAGACACTACACAAGTTGAAATAAAGAAATGAAACATTTACTGACAAACCAAAGAAAACATTAACAATGGAAATTAAATGGAGGGAACAGCAATGCATGCAATTCCCCTCCACTGCATGACTGCTGAATGCACTAATGAATCAGTGAGCTCATGCATGTTTCACTACCATTACAAGAAAAAACATTACTATCAGTCCAAAATATCAGCCGGCTGATATATGGGTCTATCTAGGGTTTGCAAAATTAATAACAAGCTGATAGATTTTTGCATGAGCCCTGGATTCAGATGCAGACTGAAACAAATCTTAAGCCTTGCTACTATTTATTCTTTGTGTAGTATAAAATGCAAAGTTACTGATCTCTAAACAAAAATAAAACTTATTTTTTATTTAATCAATTAAACATTTAAGGATTAATGGATAAAAATAAAAGCGTAGCAAGTTTGTTTTATCTTTTGTAATGGAAGCATAATTTCATGCTATATGGTATACGGCCGAATGGTGAACTGACGTATACTGAGTAGTTTTCTGCTCTATACTGACAACTCAAATGACTTTCTCACACACGTAAAACACTTTAATAACCCCAAAGGGAAATTAAAAGTTGCAAGACTTAGTTAAAAAAAAAAAAACGATGCTCACTGTTCTCCATTATGTTCTTCATTTCATAAGGAATTCTTTTTTATCAGCTTTTAAGCTTCCTTAAGTAACTTGCTCAGATGCTGCTACCCCAGCAGATAATGGCAGAAGAGATCACACGCTCAACAACAGACGTATAGAAGATATGTAGCATCTTGCTATAAATACTGAAGGACTTGCGCCTCCTTAAGTACAGTCTGCTCTGTCCCCTCTTGCAGACGACTTTACACATGCATTCCAACAAAGTTAGCAAAAGTTAAATAACAAACCACTGGACTTTGTTTTTCAAGTTTGAAGACGTTTCGCTTCCAATCCAGGAAGCTTTTTCAAATCAAAATGACTGGAGTAGGGTTTGAGTTCAGGTTTATAGAGTGGCACAAACAAAAGCTTTGTAATGGCTTAGAAAACATGCAAATTGAACCAAAAAAAAATTGGAATGGGGAGTCGTTGAGGTCGCTGTTAGTCTGCAAAACCAGATACTGTCCCATGCCTCTAGAAAGGGGGTCTTTCGGGCATTATTGCCCTGGCTGACCAGGTGAGATAATTAGGTCCCATGCATGGGGATGAGGATTGAGATGATAGTTTTTTTTTTTTTTTTTACGTTTTTGGAATGACTATGACCTGGATGACTGAGAATCTTCACCAGCATAGTACACATGCATCTAAAAACTAGTGTGTGAACAATCATTCATAGATTGGTCGATAATGTATTGTCCAAAATGCCCCAGGCCAAACAATATCAAGTGCAACATGGCCACAGATGGACAAAGCAAAATTAAATAAATTAATATGTGAAACTATCAGTATGTTTTTTTCTTCCTAGTATATCAACTAATCTACCTGCTATTTGATTGTTAGTGTCTCCATGAAGATTTTAAATTTCAAACACTGCTGTAGCCAGTTCTGTTAAGCTGATGCAGCGCTATGATCCTGTGTTTTTGTTTATTTCTGACCTGCTGTTTGAGCTGACTGAAGTGGGCGTCCCCTCACTCTGTGTCCTCCTCAGGTTGGCTCTGTCAGGCTGAAGGATCTCTGCAAGACAAACAGCAACACATCATTATGGTTCCAACACAGTTATTTTCCAGTCAGTCAGTGTGTGTTAGTTCTATAGAAAGAAAAAAAAAGAAAAGCAAGCTTGAATTCTTTTAAGTGGATATTACTGTTTTTTTGTCAAAATTAATGAACAATGTAAAGCTACTGTTTGCTAACAACCAAAAACATGTTCAAAAGCTGAGTAGCAATAAATTAACTGGAGACTAAGTTAGTCCTTATCTGGTTCTGAGTTGCATAGAAAAAGAAATGGATAATTAAGTAGGTTATGTAAATTGTAATTAGATTAATACTGGTTAAATAGATTTTCCCTTTAACCAGCATTTACCAGAGCTTTTCCATTCTTATCAAAGATTCACAACAACTCAATTTGAAATTAGATGAACTGACCCATGTTTTTCAGATCCAATCAGACACCAAAAGATCAAATACTGATCCAATACTACTGTGGACACCCTCCGGCTTCAACATTCGTACAACATCCAGACACCTAAGATATTCAGATCTTCAAAATATTCCTTCTATGGTCTGGCAATGTTTTCAGTAAAGGACAGCAGCTCCCCACTAAACTCCCCACTAAAAACAGCCTCTGGGGGTGACTGATGATTTGCCAGAATCGCTTTGAGGCTAACCAATACTCTTTCTACATGGACTCTCTTAACTTCTCCTAGGCATCTGCCTCTGTGACCGTACGGACAATGATACCTGCCAGGTGCCTCAGGAGTCTAACAAGCCAATCAGGCTAGATAGGACTCCTTCTTCAGCTTGATTGTATCCTTTATTGTTTGCATCCACCACCAGGTTTGGCGGTTACCACTACAAAAGGCCCTGCAGACCTTTCAGCTACATCTATAAGCAGCTGCATTGATAGTAAAGGTCCAATACATGGTCCACTCAAGACTCCCTGTCGCTAGCCTTGTCCAGAATCTGAGCTCTCCTAGAGGTGTAAGTTGAACACAACAACATAAAAAAAGTTTATATAAACAAATATTCCACAAAGCCATGTTGGCTCTTAACTTTTTGTTATTTTTTGTACTTTGGCAACCCCTAGGACAGCTAAACATATTACAGCAAAGTTTCTCTGTTTTATGATTTTAGCCTTTTGTTCTCAGACTCTTTGGAAAATTATGGGCTTAAAACTCTTTACTGGAAATAGTTAACGAGATTTACAGATGCTATCGTATCATAGCTTAGTGCTAAAACCCCAGCACAGCATTGTGCAGCTGCTTTCAGTTTTGATTGTGTAGAAAAAGAAGATGTATTTTAGGTCAAAAACATTCAAGAATCTCTATACACAACAGCAATTTTAGCAACTGTTTAGATCACCATGTGACCATAGTTACATCTTGGAAAATTGCTCACCAAGCGTACCACAGCTTCTAGACGCCATTAAAAGCGGAAAGATGCACCATTGCTCCAGAATAAATGCAAATGTGACTCAGATGTTGCAGCTCATGCTATGCCTCGCAGACACCAATGAAGATTCATTTAGTTCGTCAAACCATGAGATACTTCCTAAGTAATTCCACAAGTAATTAGCCAACCTCCTAGTGGCCCTTGGAGCACCAAAACTTCAGGCAATTTCAATTTTAAATTCCGAATAATGAAAAACTTGAAAGGAAGTCAAGAAAAACATTGTGCGCTCAAAATTACAGACATGAGCCACCAAACTTTAAATTCTGATCTACAGAGATTAAATCTAATCTTAAACAGACATCAAGCATATTTATATTCTAACACACCTTACAGGTAATCTAATTAGCACCCTCTTCTCCATCAATGCCTGCCATTTCTCCTTTGTAGATGTGGTGCTTATCTATCTAAACATCTATTCTAATTCACTTCAAATGTAGGAAAGAAAAATCATAGTAAATAAAGCTTTCTAACAACACTGGCAGAGGCTACCAGAAAGAAATTCTGATGTTTAAATCTAGCATTAGGTGATTTATTGCCTCTTTGAACATTACAGAGGCAGACAATCCTCTTTTCAGCTCTAAATCATAAGACATTCATTTTAGAGAGGCTAAGACCCATTAATGAAATCCATGCAGCTCTTGGACATGCGGTAGTAGAAGAGAAGTTAGTGATTTGACATGGACCACTCATCCCCGTGTGTGCCATGCAGTCTGCGCTGATCTGAGCATAGTCGTGTGTGGTTTTGGTGGTGTGAGGGAATGTGAGAATTGCGTTCCCAACTGTGATTGAAAACCACAGGGCTGTAACATGCTTTTCATTAACACTCACTTTCTCCTTTGCGCACACACATCCACCGTCTTCCAATGACACACCGGAGGCACGAGCGCCTCAAACGCTGCCCCTGTTTGCACGCCTACAGTACGTCCTGCTATATAAAGTACGGCAAACAGCTAAGCTCTTACAGACCGCAGAGAAACACAGTTCTGTTTTGTGGCAATGAAAGAGCTTCTTGTGTGCAGCCCCTTCGGACATACAGAAAAATAAACAGTGGTCTTGAGGAGAAACCATTGTGTCATAGCCTGCTAACAGAGCAGCCCCCCCACCCCCACAGAGTGGCATGGGTCTTATTTCTAGTCTGCTGTGAGTTTTTAGAAAAGCTAAAGAGTTTTTAAGTGCAGAAAGATCCCAAAAACCAAACTCCTTGAACAGAGGGGAAGTTCTAACAGTAAATAGAAGTTAATTTCTAAGTTAAGTTTTTGCAAAAGGCACAATGAAACTTTTTTTTTTTTTTTTACTTGAGGCAAAGAAAACAAATCTTTAATTGTGCAGTTTAGGATTTCATTGTGGAATAACATGTATTACTATATAATATATGATGACAGATCTGAACTGCACTTCTCCAAAAACATATACAAAAATGTATCTGTAGAGATATAATGATGGAATGAATAATAATAATAAAAACAAAAACTTTAATATACCCATAAAATAACAGAATTTAACACACCTTACAATTTTTTCTGGTGCATCTGTTTCATCTGGGCTAGCAATGTTTTAACACTCTGTTAAAACACTCAGTCCACCAAAACCCGAGTAATTTTGGTATACTTTCTCTCTTCCTCGGCAAGCTTCCTCCACACCTTTATTCCTTATGCTATGAGACTGTTGGACTCAGTT